AATAAATTAATTTGATAAATTTTGCTGATTTTAAATTAGAAAAAATTATATAATTTTTTTTATTTTGAATAATTTCATATAATATATAAAAAAGTATTTATGAAAATAATTTTGAAATTGATTTATTTAATAAAAAATGCTAAATTTAAGGATAAAAATATAAAGCTAAAAGCTGAACTTAAAAGCAAAATTGAGAATTAGAAAAAGATAAAGTAGATATTACTGCTGAGAATGTTGAATTTAAAATCAGAATCAAAAAATTAGAAAAAAATAAAACAGATTCTTTTGTTAAAAATATTGAATTAGAAATAAAATTACAAAGTTAAAATAAGATTACAAATAGATGTAAAATTATATTTCTTTTAAAAAAACTAATATCAATTTTAATTTTTTTAATATCTATTATAAACTAATGTATTAATGAATTATTATTTAAATTCATTTTAATATCTCTTTATTATTTTATATAAAATAATAAAAGTTATTAAAGAATAATGAGACAGATTTTTTCTTAAATAAAAGCATAAGAAAAATATTGGCAATAAAATTAGAAAATATAATAAGAAAAAAAAACTATTGTGAGAATTAAATATTCAAGAAATAATCTCAATTTTCTAAAATATTATGTAGTTACTATTATTTTACACTTATTAATATATAAGATAATTTGTTATATTAAAGATAATGCTGCAACTAGTTACAACTGGTGATAAATAAGCATTACATAGTTGTAACTAGTTGCAATGATATCTTTAATTACTGTCTTTGCTGATAAAATTTATTATTATTTCTCAAAATAATAAGGTAAAGATAAGTCTTAGAATATCTATTATAAGTCAGACATTCTACATATTGTAGTTAGTTTATGAGCCTATTTATATATCTGATCATGATTTTCTTATAAGATATAGGCTAAAGTTAATTCTATCAGATTATTTTATAATCAAATCAAATGAATTAAATGATGAATTAAAAACAAGATAACTTACTATTTTTGTGCATTATTAATAGTTCCTTGAAGCTTTTCCATTTATATATATGTAAGATTTTAAAAGACTTATCTTAGATCTTTAATATGATAATGTGTTGAAAGTTGACGAAGAAATTTAATCTATTTGGATATTACTAATGGATAGAGGACTAAATAAAACCTTAAATATTTAAAGAATATTAAAGCATATAGTTAGATCTTCAAAACTTTTAATATACTAAAGAGTTACTTTATAATATTTGATATTATGATTTAATCTTTGAAAGAAATATAAATGTATAATATCTCAAAGAATTTGCTAATTTATTTGAAAATTTGCAAGTTAAAAGTATAGATAAAAAAAAAATTAAAAATAAAAAATAATAAAAAAAAGAAATAAGAAAATGAAAATAATCTATTAGAATATTTTATATTATGTTTATAGATTAAAAATCACTATAATTTTTATTAATATTCTTTTGATATTAAAAGATGTATAAATACAAGCTATTGTAAATATGTTTTATGTAAAAAATATTATAGATTTTACTTTAGTTAAACAATAATTTTTACCTTTAGTCACAAAAGCTAGAGATAGATATTTTATAAATCCTATATACTTTCTTAAATATTATGATTGCTTGAAAATTTGAAAATTTCTGATTATGATTTAGACTGTCTGTCTTTTAATTAAACAACTTATTTGCATTTTTATTATTTTAAGTATACAGTTAACTCTTGATATTGCAAACTCTTGATATAACAAATTTTTTAAACAAATATAATAAAAATACTCTTATTATAGTAAATTGGCAAATTAAACTTCTTAAATTTTCACTATAACCTTATAGTAAAGTTAAGGTTTAGGATATAAAGTTTATTATAATAAAAGTTGACTGTAATAAATACTTTCTAATTCTTACTTATTTAGTGAATCATAAATAAAATAATATATCTTGCTAGTTATAAGCAACCTAAAGAAAATTTAAATAAAATTCAAGGAATTTAGGAACTTTTGATAATTTCTTTCTTCTTTCTTCACAACAGAAATAATCTTTTTGTAATAAAATATATTTGAGAGGATGTATATTAGATAATAAATAACTTAGTGCATTTACATAGTAGTATTTATAGTATTTATACATATGTATATAATAATAAAATTAGTATAATAAAATATAAACTACAAATTTATATTATGTGATCTTAAATTTATATGTAATCTAAGATTTTTTAATATCTAATAACTATCCCTATACCTAGTGATATACATTTTTGATGTTCCAGAGATTTGTTGTCCCAGCTATATGTCCTAGCTATATGTCCTAACCTGTTCCACACTATGTCCAAAGGTTCTATCTGTCCCATCTATGTCCCATCAGTGTCCCATCAGTGTCCCATCAATATCCTATGATAACACTGTCTATACCCCTAAAATATTAATAATATATTACTATCCTTATAAAATTTTCTTTTTTTTTTATTAAAAAACACTAGTTTTTTACTAATTAACATTTATTTAGTTTCTTAATTTTGCAGAATTTTTATCTGATTTTTTTGTTATATCATGTGTAACAAGTAGTTTTAATAAAAAAAGTTTTGTATAATAAAATTATAAGAAAAAATATTTTTGATGAATTGATTAATTTTTGGTTTATTTTATTAAAAAATGATTAAAAAATTTTATATATTAAATTATTTAATAATTTTTTTAAATGGATTTATTTTAATATTGAAAGTTATTATTCATTTATTAAAGTTATTTTATTTGCTTTTTTTTATAGCATGATAAAATGTAATTTAATAAAAAAATTAAGTTTTTTTTTAAATTTACCTAAACTTTTGATCAGGAAGTATATATCTACAAGTAATTTAAACACAGTTTTTTTGTGAATTGTAACTTATTTTATAATCATTTGAATCCGCTCTTAATTATACATATGGTTTCAATTAAAATAATATCAAAATATAGCAAATTTTACATTTTCTAAATTATTGTGATATATAATGACTCAATTTCAATCAATCATAATTGACAGAAAGCTTTCAGTGAAGCGAATATGATTGTTTTAATTTTATATCTTCATAATCAATATCTCACAAGATATTCGCATTTATAAGTTCTAATGCTAATCAAAATTAAAGAATATTTTTGAAGAAAAATGTTTCAAATGGGATAGAAAAAATTATTAGCTCACAAGTTGTTAAAGTTAAAAAAATAAATACTGTACAGTCAACCCTCTCTAAATGCGCCCTCTCTAGATGCACACACTATATATTTTTTCTCTAAATGCACGCTCTCGTTCAGTCCCAAGCATATAGAATTCATATAGAAATTTTCTCTTTAAATGAACACCCTCTTTAAATGCACACCTTCTTTAAATGCACATTTTTTAAAATTTTCACTATGGTCCCGAGGGGGTGCATTTAGAGAGGGTTGACTGTATATATATGTTTGTGCTCAGGTATTTTCTTCATAGTATAAGTTATGAAAGAACAATGGAGGTTATTGTAAAGTTTATTAAGAATAGGGTGAAGGTTGAGAAGGAGCCAATAAAAAGAAGATAATTGTTCAAGGTTATAAAAATATGAATAATGCCAATATACTCTAGAATTATCTTTATATTAGCATAGAAGTGTCATGTATTTTTTGAACTTAATATTTATTTTAATGCATTGCATATATTGCTATCTGATTAACTTGATATGTGGGATCGTGTACAATAAAACCTTAATTTGTGAAAATCTGGTTTTGTAAATAATTTAATGAAAGTGTTTTAGAAGTGTCTGTAAGTACTTGTCAAAGACTCACCAGAAATTTTTAGTTTTCTCGATGAGAATTCCAAAATTAGTATGGTGACTTATGTTGTTTCTATTTACTAATAGTTCGCAATCAGAAATTTAATCCATGCTGTCTTTACGTTTACCATATCGATCTGTGAACATATTTTCACAAGACATGTCTTGAGAAGCATGTTTATATGACAGAAATAAAATACCCTTTATGTTCTTATAATCATTGAACTGATTAGAGAAGAATCGGCACTTGCTTTTAGAGAATATTTCATAGAGAAAAAATGATCTGGGAAAAGTGATATCGAGAAGGAACTCATGGTTTCGCTAGGATTTATAAGGGATGATTCTTATGCTTGGCAAGGGAGTTGAACAAATCAAATTACACGCAAGATCAAGCTATATGCTCCATCGTAGCTGCGGAGTTACCCTGTTGATAATAGGTAAATGATGCGGTACTTGCAAATTCGTATGTTCACATTCCAAGGATTACTCATGAACAGGAAAAATGCATTAAAACCTTAAAAATAAAAGCCAGAACAGAGCAATAAGAAAATTCATTTATAGACGGGATATTCGTATAAAAAACTAAAAAAAAAAATTAATGCTAAAAAAAGGAGAAGACGTAATTTATCATGTTTTTCCGTCTTATCGATTCTTATAGATGATTTTCTTGATCTTAAAATCTAAAAAGGAAAAACAAAATTAAGGACCAATAATCTTGAGGTTAGACCCTAATTCCGATCATACCTTAAATAAAACGTTCAAGTTCAACCACAAGATTTACCAATTAGGAAATTTACAAATTATTGCAGTATCCCAAAGAAATTTATCGGGAGAGATATATATATATATATTTTTTTTTTTAAAAAAAAAAAAGAAAAAAAGAATGCAACATTTCTTTTCTTTTTTTTTTTCATCATTAATTTTTTTTTAAAAAAAAAAAAAAAAAAAAATAAATAAGTCTTTAAGCAAGTAAAAATTTTACGTATTATTATTAAACTAATTAGTTGAAAGATTTTTAAGAAAAAATTGATAAAAAAAAAACTATATTACAGTAAAGAAAAATTTTTCTACATCAATCAAAGATAATTTTTCTTTTTTTTCTTTTTTTTTTAAAATAAATTTAAATAAATTTCAATTAATAATTTTTTGTTATTCCCTAACATTTCTCTATCCTCCCCCCCCCCCATATCCCCAAAAAGAATTACTTAAATTAATAAAGAATAACACAACCCTAAGTTAATCGATGGTCTGTATTAGGACTAGAAGAATTGATGTAATTATCTCTTTCACCATCAAATCCTTCAATGTAATTATCATTATCATCATCATTTCTTCTCGCTTGTCCACTAACTTCACTAGCATCGTCTACTTCACTGATTGTCATTTCATCCTCATCAACTTCTCTCCTTGTTCTCCTCATACTAGAATGCCTTCTCGGTAAATTATCAATACTATTACTAATTCTTGATCTTCCATCTGATAATTGGCTTGGTGTCAAACTTGTTAATCCTCCTACGCTGCTTCCTACACCTTCACCAATGTTATCTGAAGTTGAATCATCTGGCAACACTATACTTATACTCCAACTTCCACTTCCACTCTCTCCAGCATTTTCAGTTTCAAATTCTGCAACACAGACGTTAGGAAAAGCACCCTCTTTACCGGTATTCCTATTTATCCCAACAGCCCATCCATCATCGAATTTTTGTTTAACTTCTATTACATCATTTACAGATAATTCCAACTCATCAGGTAATTGTGCCGAATAAGAAAATACCACCACCACTATATTCGCTTCTTCTCCTCCACTTTCTCCTCCACTTCCCAAATCGATTGAATCCGAATGAGGCGGAAGGGGTGCAAGTTGAACTGACGTTGATGATGAGTTTGTTGTTCCAATTATAGATGATGATGTGGACATTTTTAAAGTTACGTTCGGATTACTACTACTATTTACATTTAAATTACTTAAATTACTTCCTCCCAGCTTTAAGCTTCCGCTTCCTGCATTAATATTATATATACCTTTGTAAGGAGAATTGTTATTTGCTCCTATGGCAGCCCCGCTCGTAGCTAAAGCGACACCTTCAGCACTGATGTTGGATAATAAACTTCCAGTTCCTGCATTTGACGGAGTATTAGGAGTTGCAATACTATGTGAATATCTTCCAATCATTTCCGCCCCATCATTTCCATCCCCAACGACGTTTGGAGGTCTAAAATAGAAATATGGTGTTGCAAAGAAACTAACCCTTCTATCTGATTTCCCTCGTCGTTTTTTTACGCAACAATATACGATTAATCCCAATATGAGACAACCTCCCGCTAATGTACCCAATATCAGTGCTAATCTACTCGGTTTACCGTTCAATGAGGTCGCCATGCCCGGTGCGTTACTATCGGATGAATTTGGTGAAATTGGTGATATTGGAATTGTCGGTGAAGAATCGCTTACTGAAGGTATCTTATAAGGACATTGTAGTATATTGCTAGCAGTATCACAACATGAATTCGTATCATTATCTTTGCAATACGAGCACAATCCTCTAGTATCATCTTTGAATCCTAAAAATAAAAAGAGGGTGTAAAAAAAAAATTTTAACATCCATTTCAAATTTCCTCTTAAACGATTTCAAATACATACCACAATTATTAGGTTCATTTTCTTCTCCGGAAATACAATTTGTAGTAGCGTTGTCATCAGTATTTTGAGGGAGTGTACACCATTTATTCAAATCATCAAGTCTCTCATTAATGTCGCTAGTTGTTCCAATAATACAAACATTAGGACTGTTTGCAATGCCTTGTAAAGAATCATAATGATTCAGACAAGTTTGCTTACATAATTTCCTTTCATTTGGCAAAGTATCATTTGCGCTACACAATCTACTTTGTGGTTGTTGAACAAGGTACGCACAAATAGTTGTCAGAGTGTACCTTGCATAGGTAGTAATACTCGATATAATCGGTGTTACTTCAGAACACTGTGTAACTCCCAAAGTAGAATTTGTACCTTCTTTATATCTCCACTTAATATATTGAGTATTTACATAATTTAAAAGTAATTCATCAAATCTAGTTATGTTCTCTGCCTCTAGTAACCAGTTAAAATTTGTGTCGAAAATAGCCCCCTTTGAATCTTGAGAGGACGGGGATTTTAATGAAGAAGCCGACGAAATAGAATATTGTGAGAAAGCGCTACAAGTTACTGTGTTAGCAAGTGAGAGACATGGTGGCGCTTTGACTCCTTGAGAATTGCTCACCGATGGATAAAAAGTTAATAATAGGATTAAAAGGATGAGGTGTATTATTTTGAAATTTAATTTTGATGACATTTCGTCATTATATGCATTTTTGTTGGGAGTTATTAATCGTTCAATTTTGAAAAAAAGGAGGGAGAGGTAACTCTCAAACAAGGACACTCTTCTTATTTTCGGTTCACTAAAAATCAAAAGAACCGAAAGTTAGAAATGTACGCTAGTCTGAATTATACATTCCTTTTTTATTTTCTTTCTTTTAGGTAAAGATTTAAATTTACTTACCTATTTATTTAATTCAATTTGATAAATTTTTGTATTTCGAAAAAGATTTTTTTTTTTTTTTTTATGATGTAAATAATGATGATGATGATGATGATGGTGATGATTATGAGTGATATATAAATAAAAAGATTCAATAAAAAAAAAAGTTATTAATGATTGATTTTAAATATATTTTGGAATAATAATAAATTTTTTTTTTTTTTCTTGGGGTAGAAAGAATAACGAAATAAGTACTTTTACATTTACAAACTAGAAATCCGAAAATCTTTCCAAACCCTTATGATATACTTAAAAAAGTTTATTAATTCATACATACATTAGCATACATACATCAAATAACAAGAACAACAAATCGGTTTTGAGATTATGCGAGGAGGAGGATCTTTTATAGAAGAGTGTCAAAGATTCAACGACAAAAAAAAAAAAAATACATAAGGGATAAACCAAATTTTTATGGGGGGGTTTTATCAACTCCTTATTTGGGAAGAAGCGATTGTTTGTGCGTTTGTGATACCATATAGCTTGTTTAATGATATTATATTACAAATTAAGAAATTTGAGCGGGTTTTAGAATAGAAAAATATACCGTAATTCAAGATTTTTAGACGAGGCTTATTCGGCTAAAATGCCCTACAAGTTATATTAGGTAATACCATAATTTTAAATATGTCTTTAATCACTCAAAAACACATTTTTAAACTACAAGTTATTGTTACAAAAGGTTATAAATGTAAAGAGAGGAAAATAAATATTATTAAAAAGAAAAGCATTGTAAGCATTGTAAACATTGAAGGTAGTTTTCCTTTTTGGAAAATTTATTTTTTTTTAAATTGTATGCGTACAATTTTTATTGTACGACAACATATAATCTACACGATATTTGATTTCCATAAAAAAAAACACGTATCTTTTCTGTCGAGGAAGGAAAAAAAAAAAATTTTTTTCGAGTAAACGAAAAAAAAAAATAATAATCATAATAAATAAATAAATAAATAAATAATAATAATATAAATAAAAAGAAATAAAAATCATCCATAATCAAAATCAAAAAAAAAATGAGTTTCGCGATTAATTTTATTATTGATCATCCCGAGGAAAACAAAACGGATACCTCTACTTCAAATCTTACTAATTATCATTGGGATGATTTTTTTGCTACAACAGCTAACGAAAGTTCAGAAGAAGAAACTATTGAACAAGGTTTTCAAGAGCAAGGGCAACGACAACTTACTCCAAAAGATCCGATAGTTCAAGAACCCATAATAGAACATTCACCAATTCCTACCCTTCCAATAAATTTACCTTCTCCTTTACCATTATTAGAAGCAACCAAGCCACAGCCTCCAACCGTTTTAGCTTCATCACCACCTCCACCACATTTACCATCATCAAACATTTTACCGCCCATTATTTTGCCCCCATTAACCCCCTTTGCCGTTCATATTCCTCCCCCAAAGAAGATAGAACTTCCAACCACTAACGTAACTCCTCCTTCGGAAATAGTAACCCCCCCAACAAAGTCACAATCACGTCATTCCAATTCATCTCCTACGAACAAATCATCTACGCCGAAAATGAAACCCATAACTCCAAGATTAAGACTTAAAAGAAATTCTAAAATTAGGCCAGGTGAACAAGAATTGACGCGTTCATCTCCTTCACCAAAATCATCTCCGATTACGAATGATGACGATTCCACTCCTAAAGATCAGATATTACCGGAATTTACTTTGGAACTTCCAGTAACCTTGGATTCCCCCAAAGAAAATCTGGATAAAGAACCATCGGAATTACCGGCAATTCACCTGACGGGTGTGACGGATGAGATGCAAGTAGATTTGTTAGAAACTTCTGATGATTCACAGCAACAGGAAATAGAAGAAAATCCCGCTATTGAGAAACTTAAAATCAAACAAGCTTGGATTAAAAGGATGCGTCTAAAATTTAGTGTAAGACCGGAATTCGGGATCACACAAAACATTTTGCATTTAGATGGTTCTTTAAATCAAGAGTATGTTATCATTATAAAATTTTACGCGTTAATTACATATAACATGTCACCTTTTTTGATTCAATTATCATGATTTATTGCATAAAAAGTTATTTTCGACCTCCAAAAGGATCAATACCTCAAATACAACGAAAATGGACAGACAAAGAACGCGTTCTGCTTATTAAGGGCGTAGAAAAATACGGTATCGGACATTACAAGGAAATTTCCGATGAACTTTTGCCGGATTGGGTATGATGATTCAATTTAAAAAAAAAAAAAAATATATATATATATATTTTCTCCACCTCCTTAATAATTTATGTATATTTTTTTTTCTCTTACATAAAGTCGGCGCAAGACCTTCGTGTAAAAACGATGCGGTTAATTGGAAGACAAAATTTACAACTTTACAAAGAATGGAAAGGAGATGAAAATGCGATTAAAGTTGAATATGAAAAAAATAAAAATATTGGATTAAAAACGGGTATGTGGAAAGCTGGAACTTTGGTTTATGATGATAATGGAGTTGTCTTGAAAATGATTCAGGAGTTGTCAGGTGATAGCAAAAAGAGGAAAAGAAATGGACAAGATATTTTAGAGGAAGATGATGATACGGCATATGATGAGGAAATCGAAATCGACTAATTATAAAATATAGACTTTGTGTTGAGATAAATCGTATGGAAATTCTTTTTTTTTAGATCATTAGAATAAAATCGAATTTCATTTCATTTTATTATTAACACGAACCAAAAATAATTATAATAAAAATAATATATTCGTAACAATTATTTATTTATTTTGTTGTTTACAATCATTTCCTTAAATAAATTCTATTCAACTATGAATTTATAGTTGAAAAAAAAAAGAGATAATTAAAAGTACAAAGAAAGACTATTACAAAAAAAAAAAAAAAAAAAATGAAAACAATGAAACACAAAATACACACACATATATATATATAAACCAAGCCCAAGCCCAAACCCAACTTTATTTTTTTCTATTAAAGAAAATTATGATTGTATTCTTCCTCAGTACTTTGTGCAATCCAAAGCATAAAAGAACTGAATGATGATGGGAAATTAAAACTTAATAATAATTTTTTTTTAAAAAAATAAAAAAAATAACTTTATTGTTTTTACCTGATCATGATGAATAAATTTTGGATGACCAAGGCAATTCCAAAATATAGATAGGGCATTTCAATATTAGCTACAATATATTTAAGAATTAACACAGTCTAAAAAATTTTAAATTTATTCAAGTTAGTGACTTTTAAATATGTGAAGCAAATCAAATAATCAAAGAACAGTTTTGCTTTATATCATTTAATTGTATTTATAATAGGAAAATCTGAAAATCTTGGTAAATTGCGATGATAGAAATACATACACAAGATCCGGCGAGCCCACCAGCCATTGCGGCAAATCCTACAAATAAGCAAAGACGAGCTCCTCTCGTTGCAGATCCTGATCCCATGTACTCGTTCGTTAGGCGAGATTTGTCAATTAAATTAACGCTAAAATTTTTCGGTCGAAAAACAAGTATTTAAGTATTTTCACATGATACAATTAATGTTGCGCTAAATCAAGTAATTATTGTAGAATATCTCGCATACGAAATACATTAATGTGCATGGATGGAACTCCAAAGGAGCGTGAATTGCAATAAGGGAAAGGATAAATGATCTTCAAAGGTGCGGTAGCTTTTTTTAGTTCACTTTCATTATCCTCGACTATTGAACTTACATTATCATTCCTAACGTGCTAAAAATTCCGCACAACCAATCTTCGAAACTTACAAAAGGAACCGTATCATCATCACCATTTCGTCTCAGGTAATTAGAATACACTACAGAATCAATGAAAAACCACCACCCTAATGCAAACTATTCATATGAAATTTAAATGTCAAAATTATGAAAAAAGATTTCGAAAATATTGACAACATTTTTTAAATTTCTCTCTACCATTCCTCCTGAAATATAAATCCCAACGTCTCGTTTTAAACGAGACAAGTCTGGGATTGGGATGAGGCAAATATGCCTGTTATAATTGTCATAACCTCTTGACATTTGTGGGTTTATCTTTTTTTTTTTTTTTTTTTTTTTTGAATAAATGGAATCAAAATATGTATGCGAGAAAAAATTGAATATTTTAATTTCTTATCAATCAACTTGGAGCGACCAAATTATACAATTTACCAAATTATACACGTGTTATTCGTTTATAATTTTGGCCAAAATTAAATAATTTTGCCAGCCAGAATTATAAATTAAAGCTAATTTAGTTAGAATTGGAGCAGAAACAAAAAATCTCGCTATCTTGACCAATCTTTTATGTGCTTACCGCCAATCGATCTCATGTGATAATCTTACATATATTTCTCACGATATGATTATAAATATGGCAACACGATTGTCTTTTTTTTTTGAACAAAAAAAAAAAAAATGAATACCGCAAAGCCATTGACGAAATCAATTTTCAGGGTTTGTTAATTTTTTCTCATCTGTTTCATCTTTCGAGTAACATTCTGTAAAATCAGTTAATATTTAGACCGAATATGCTGTGGAGATGACTTGTGATTCATGTGTTCAATCTGTAAAACGTGTTTTAGATCAAATTCCAGGTGATTAAATTCTAGATTATCCAAAAGAAGCAATCCTTAAATATCTTTATTTACATACATTCAATTTTCAATTTGTAGAAATTAACCATTTTGACATTGATCTCAAAGATCAGAAAGTCATTGTTGAAGGAACAGGTAACATGGATCTACAATATTTTGTTTCTATTTGTCACACAACGAACCTAAAGTGATACAATTTTTATCTAGCGCCCCCCTCTGTTGTTTCAAAGAAATTGAAAGAAACGGGTAAGACAGTAATTGTACGCGGGCAAGGCACGGTTCAAGGTTCAAACAAATTTTTTTTTTTCTCGTTTATCACACTATCTTGTCAAAATTTTAGATCTAATCATTTTGAAATATCTAATTATATTCAGGTCAGCATGCTGGTGCAGCAGTATGTATCTTTGAAGATTACACATACACGCCAGACCAAAGCGAACAAACCCCAAGAAAGCCGCAAGGACTTGCTCGATTAGTTCAAATAGATGATGAGAATTGTCTGATTGATATCACAGTGCAGGGGATATCTCCGGGATATCACGGAGTTCACATACATGAATTAGGTGATATTTCAAGAGGACCAGCAAGTACCGGAGATCATTACAATCCTGATAATGTTGAACATGGAAACATTGAAACAGGTCATATTGGAGATCTTGGAAATATTTATGTTGATGAAAATGAATGGGGTGATTTGGTAGTAGAAAGTAACAGGATCAAAGTGTGGGATGTTATTGGAAGATCTATGGTTATTTCATGTGGAAAGGATGATGAAGGAAAAGGGAATAACGATCAAAGTAAAATTGATGGGAATTCCGGTCATGGGTTAATTGCCGGTATTATTGCAAGATCTGCTGGCGCTTTTGAAAATATGAAGAAAGTTTGTGCCTGCTCTGGCAAGACCCTTTGGGAAGAAGCCAGAATTAAAGAAAATCTTTGATCCTTAATTTAATAAATTTAATTTAATGTTTTTGAAATTCACGTACATAAATAAATTATATTTACTTACTAGGTTTCTTGTACTTTTTTATTATTATTTTTATCTTGATAAATTTTCCAACAATCTCTAAATTTATTTAATTCTTTCTGACATATCCTCCAATCTTTTTTTTCAGCAAAACATAATTGTAATTCTTCATTCTCTTTAGCACATCCAGTTTTAAGTATTCTTTGTTCATATTCATCAGGTTCAGAATGTGGCGATGTTTTATTATTTGTATGATTCATGATGATTCGAAAGTAAAAAATTTTTTTGCGCCAGTAATAATCTTTAAAAAAAAAAAAAAAAAAAAAAAAAATAATTATATATTAAATAACATTTTCATGTCAAAACACGTGAATACCGATTATCCAATAAAACATGGGACCTTTGAAAAAAATCCTTTTTGAAAATCTTAATAAATCGAGATCATTATTGAATGACATTTAATTACGAGGTGATCATGAAATCATAAAAGGCAGCTCTTCCCAAGATATAAAAAGATGATTTTATCGTTCGATTTGTTATATATTTAAGATTTTAACAGCTGACACCGAGTTTAAATTGTTAGCCTAACTTAGGTTAATTTCATATAAATAAGAATTATTCGAAAATTTTTCTTGAATTTTTATAAATAAAAAATTTTACTCCTTAAAACTAATCCTAATACTATTTTATTTTAATCTTGGACATATTATGAAAATTCCCAAATTATTGTGAAAAACATTTGAGAATTATTTTTAAATAAATCCGGGTGATCTGGATCGACCCATTACATAATGCACCTGGATATCAAGAGTCGTAGTAAATTAGTTACCATCATTTTTCATATGAAATTGGTGGATCCTAAAAACATCAAATATACCATGTGGAAATCAAGTAACAACCCATCATATGTCAATTAATTCTTTTATTTCCTTAATTGTAAACGTTCTCGGATGATAATTTAAGTGATACTTATGATTTTTATTTCACATGTAGGCCGATATGTTTCCAAATTTATTAGCTTACTGGGGTTTTGGGGGGTATTTTACATGTTGATTTAGTAAATTTAATATCAATGCGTTTGTATAGTCAATCAGATTTGACGTGATCCTTGTTGGAAGGATCACGCAGCAAATCCCGCTTTATAAAAAGGTATCGTCTGAAGAATAAACTTTCAAAAATCAATCCCTTTTCCCTCATCGAATATTTTTAAATTATTTTTTTTTTTTCTCTCATTTTGTTTTAAATAATTTAAATCATGACTGCTGCGTCAGAAATGAAAACCAAAATGAACGAAGCCGGCTTCGATGACATACAAAAACAAAAATACATTAATAAAAAACAAGCAAAACCAGATAAAGAACCAGCTTGGTGGATAAATGGAGCCTTTGTTATCGTCGTTCACATAATTACAGCCATGTCACTGTTATTATATAGTCCCTCCTTTAATACGGGGGTTATGACGTTCTTTATATGTCAATTGGCAATGTTCGGGTAAGTTGTGATAAAAAAAATAGATATATATATTTTTTTTTCTTTCTTTGATCTGTTTGTAATTGACCAACTCTTCGGTTTCACCTTTAACATAGAATCACCGTTGGATATCATCGATTATGGAGTCATCGAGCATACGAGGCCAAGACTCCTTTACGTGTTGTCTTAGCCTTCTTGGGTACACTCGGATTCCAAGGTTCCATTAAATGGTGGGTTCTTCGTCATAGAATACATCATAGGTAAGGTTCCCATTTCCTTGAAGCGCAGGAAACCGCGCAATCATCAAATCCTTTTTTTTTTATTCAATACTTTCCTCGTTTACCATATATTAAATATAGATGGACGGACACAAAAGACGATCCCTATTCAGCAGCTGAAGGATTTTGGTTTTCCCACATGGGCTGGATCTTTAAGAAACCCCATTATCCAAAAATGAAATTGATTGACGCCTCAGACCTCAATGCTGACCCCGTAGTGAGATTTCAACATAAACATTACGTTCCTTTAGCGTTAGTCAGTGGATTTGCACTTCCAACTTTGATCGGTGCTCTTTGGGGTGATGCTCTCGGTGGATTTCTGTACGGTGGCATACTAAGTCGTGTTGTTATTTGGCACTCAACATTTTGTATTAATAGCTTCGCGCATTGGGCTGGTGACCAAATTTATTCAACTGAAATTTCGGCTCGTGGAAATTTATTACTTGCCATAATGACCAACGGTGAAGGTTATCATAACTTCGTAAGTTTTGTAATGTACACAAGTGACTTCACTTGAAATTTCATCCCGACCTAAATCATTCTAATAATACTTTTTTTTTTTTTCATTACGCAGCATCATGAATTTCCCAAAGATTTCAGAAATGGGTACCGTTTATTCGATTGGGATCCCTCAAAATGGATCATCTTCCTTTTACACACCTTCACAAATCAAGTTCCAAGTGTAACTCGTGTTCCTGACAATGAAGTTCAAAAAGCAATTGCCAATATGGAATTATATAGGGCACAAGAAAAACGACAAAAATGCGATTGGGGTGTTGATTCATCCTTGTTGCCCGTCATTACTTATGAGGAATACAAACAAAGGCAAGAAAGTGAAGGAAAGGAATGGTTATTAGTTGACGAATTTGTGTTGGATGTTTCATCATTTAAAGAAGCGCATCCCGGTGGTGCAAAAGTTTTAAAGAATTATTATGGTAAAGACTCTACCAAAGCATTTTATGGTGGTCTAAACATGCATACTAAAGCTGCTAGAACCATGACAGCGATGTTGAGAGTTGCCAAAATTGAAAAGGTAGAGAAGGAAGAGTAAAAAAGAAAAAAAAAAATTAAATAAAAATAATTCAGTCATTTCAAAATTATTTTAAAAGAAATTTATTTCTTTTTTTTTTTTATACCTTGTTTTTTTTTTTTTTTTTTTTGTATTATTATTCTTTAAAAAATTAATTTTATAATTTTATACATGTAATAAATTTAATAAAATCGTCTCATACACTATGAAAATTTGTCAACTCATTTTTGTTTAGAAAAGAATCATTCTTTGCATTATTATTATTATTTGAACATGGCATTTCGTGAATAAGTAGAGAATTTATGATCGTTTAGTTAGCCTGAAAGGACTATTAGTTGTATTAGTAGCCCAGATTCAAAGTAAAATAAATAAAATATTTATTTATTTTAGTAAGGTGTATTACATACATGACTGCATTTTGGGAAAACATAAATTTATTGATTTCTAGTTAGCCAATTTCAATTCAAAGCTAATACATATTTGTTGGGCGTATTTATCAAAAGCGAAAAATAAAAAAAAAAAACTGATGGTTGGGAAGACTTTGGGGCGTGCCACTGCATTAATAAAATTATCTTGTTCTATTTGCAATAAAAGTTCCAACTACGACTAAATAATTTAGTCCGGAGCGTAGCGAAGGTCTGCTGTTTGATTTAAAGATGTCCGATTTCCCCCGCTCGAAATTTGAGTCGATAAGTGATTGGTCCTTTTCGTTACAAAATTCAAAATTCGAAAATTTATCTCAATTTTCGGAAGTCAAATAAATTCAAGAGTTATTCCATCGTTGTGCATAATTTTATACGTAAAATTACGTCACGCTGCAGATTATTTTTTACTTTTAAATTCAAAAAAGAAAAAAAAGGATTTTGCTTTATCATATTGTTCGAGTTTAGAAGGTATAACCCTACATAAAGTTGCGGATACCTTAATTAGTGCATTTTCGTTGGAAATACTGCACGACATTTCTTTATTTTGAATGATTCTATTTGTTCTATTTTAAAAATCGGACCAGATAATTCATACTCGGTTGCCTTTTGTAAAATTTACCACGATGTAAATTTACTCGTTTTGAAAGATGAAAATTCTGTTACGCAGAATTTGTGATTTTGTGATTTGTGATCATATATTTATAGTTATGAGTATCAAATTTAGTTATCTTATGACATCATTGGGCGTCTTTCGACCAATAGTGAACCCGTCGCTAATTTTTACTTTTGTATAAAAACCCGGCATTTTTTCAAGTACATCGAAAAGTTACTTTTTCAAAAAACATGAGTAGTGACGGAACAAATAACGATGTCGACATTCAAGTTCCAGAATCTAAAAAATCCGAATTTAGTGGTTTTTTAAAAACCCTTTCTACTTTTACCGGCGACATATATAGTCTAACGTGTCCTAGTTTTCTTTTATCAGGCACTTCAACACTTGAATACGGGTGAATAAAAATTTTGTTTCTTTTTATCTTCGGCTAGGAATTGATTTTTAACTTCTATTTAACGAACAGGCAATATTGGGCAGACTATCCAGAGTATTTTGCCGCTATTTCTGAACCAACCAAAGAAGTCGAAAGAGCTGTTGCCGTGTTAAAATGGTTCATAAGTACTTTATATGGTTCATTTGCATCAAGAAAAGATAAAGATAAAATTGAAAAAAAGCCGTTCAATCCTATCCTCGGTAAAGTTTTATTTAATCTTTTGCAATCATTTATTCAATCGAAAGAGTTTCAAATCTTTTTATTCCTTTCGATTATAGGTGAACAATTCTTAGCAAGGTGGGATGATAGAAATGGATGTGGTGAGACCATATTATTTTCCGAACAAGTGAGTCATCATCCACCGATCTCAGCGGTTTATCTTGAAAATAAAAAGGCGGGTGTTTCTGCTATTGGACACAGTGCGTATATCTTTTATTTTATTTTATTTTATTTTTTTTTTGAACTTTCCCGATGGAAAAATCGTTTTTGCCTATCTAATCATTCTTACTTCCAATCCAGCCGGGCAAAAAAGTCAATTCAGAGCAACTGCAGCTCGAATTGATGTCACACAAGTTGGTCATATAATAATTCATTTACGAGATCATCCAGAAAAATATTTGATCACTTTGCCATCTTTACAAATTCTTGGATTATGGAAAGGAGCTCCTTATGTAGAATTGAGGTTTGTTTTTAAAAAGGATCATTTTATTCTTTGCAAAAAAATTTAACCTTTTTTTTTTTTTTTATTTCTTTAGTGGGCATAGCGTGATTCAATCCAAGAATTTTAATATAGTCATTGAATTTAGCGGAAAGGGATGGCTTTCAGGAGAAAAACATACTTTTAATGGAGTGATACGAAAGAACGGTTCAAAGGAACCACTTTATACCGCTTTTGGTAATTGGTCAGGGAAATCTACTTTAGAAAATCATTTAACTCAAGAAAAGACAATTTTCTTAGATATAGAAGGTACTAAAAGGGCAAATCCTATAATTGCATCAGAAGATGATCAAAATCCTTTGGAAAGTAGAAAGTTATGGAAACATGTTGCAAAAGCTATTAACGAGGGGGATTTTTCTACGGCTTCCAGGTTAAAAGTATGATTATCTTTTATTCTTTTTAATTTTATTTTCGTCTCTTTTTTTTTTTGGATCATTCTTTTAATATAATCTTTCTTCATTTCTTTCTAGGGTGAGATTGAACAGCGTCAACGCGATAAAGTTAAACGTGGAGAAAACACTTCTCTTCAATACTTCAACTGGATAGAAACTGATCAAGTATTTTTAAGTCTTAACGAATTAATTAATAGTAAATATCAAGTAGATGATAAATATAAGGAGACGGGTAGCTGGGTTTATAATAAGTTGTTATTTAATAATTAGAGAACGTTTTATTATTTATTTATTAGTTAGTTACATTATTGAATAGTTCAGTATATTTATTTTTTTAGCTTTTTCCTATATAGTTAACTAGTTGCCACTTAAAATAATAAATAATGTTTCTTAAAAAGTTGCTTTTGTAATAAAATTCTTAAATTTTTTATTCCAAAATGTCTAGTTTACGAAATGACGTCATCGACAATCATATATAAAAATAATACACGATTTGAAATTTTGATGTTTTTAGTCCAACTTTTTTTCGAAAGTTGATTTCAAAAAGATGGAGCGTAAACGTACACGTCCCGCAAATGTATTTGGAGACGACGATGAACCATCTTCTCAGGAGCCCGAGAATAAAAAAATTAGAAGGTAAAAAAAAAAAAATTGAGACACGATTCCCTTAGTTACTTGGTTAAATTCTTGAACTAATTTTTATCATTTGCTTTATTTCGTTTGTTGACCGTATAGCTCTGGAACTGTGGGTGTATTTTTTTTACCCCAACTACTTGTAACTTTTCTGAAGTATTTTTAATTACTGTCCTTATATATTTTTTAATAGGGAGTTCCCAGCTATCGTCCGACCCCTTCCGATTCTTCTTTACAAAATGCGGCACCTCGTCCCGATCAGGTATTTCCAATTCCTTACTTGAAATTCATTTCTTCATTTAATTAACTCAAGCTCGTTTCCTGAAATAGATCAAAGCCATGATTGCTCAAAAGAAAGCACAACTAGAAGCTATGGCTGCTTCGTTGAGACCATCTCAACCTAGACCACCATCAATATCCGTTAATTCAGCAGTTTTACCTAGTAGTACATCCACTAGTATTACTACCTCAGCTTCGAATTCATCACAAAATAATTTTATGTCTTCAGGAATTGATCCTGACCTTCAACGTAAAATTCTAGAAGCAAAGGAAAGAGTTAAAGTTAATTTAGCAAAAGCAAATCCTTATCTGGTATGTAGTCTTTTACTTTCTTTCTTTCTTTTTTTTTTTTTTCACAACACGTAATTATATATATATTGTTTTTTATTAGCCTTCAACTAGTTCTTTAGCAAAGGCGGCCGATGATTCATCAAAAGCAAAAGGAGGTTTAAAAGTAGAGGCACATCCCGCGCTATTATTAGATCAAAGTGGCAAATTAGATTTAAAGAGAGTTGCAGCATTAATTCCAAAGCCAAATTTTGCTACTGTGAAGGTGAGATTTATGTTTAAAATATATCGTTTTTGAATTTCTTTTCAAACGCACACCTTCAAAGAAAAAAAAATTTTCTTTTTATATTAGAAAAACATAATGATTGAAATAAATTTGTCAATAAATAAAAAAAAAACAAAAAAAAAAAAAAACTTCCAATAGGCGAATCAAAGGGCCTCACCTGCTACTTTAAAACAAGAAACCAAAGTACTATCAACTCCATCTGAAGAATTAAATGATATGTCTCAAAATCCTTATTTTGATCCGAGAGCTGGTTTCGTCGCTCCCCAACGTCGTGGCCGTAAAAAATTTAAATTTATTCAAAGAGGAAAATATGAATCCATGGGAACACAAATGCGAGCTCAAGTATGTTAAAGTATAATCCAAGATGATGATTTTTTTCTCGAAAGTTTTTAACTTACATTTTATTTTTTATTATAGGCTAAGTTGGAAAAATTGAAAGAGGAAATTGCTCAAAGTGTGAAAAAGGCTGGTATGGAAGCAGAATTGGATTCATCTGATAAGGCAATCAAGGTAAATCTATAATAAATGATATCATAAATCCCGGAAAACCACCTTTTACCTTTAAATGGAACTATTTCAAGCAAGTTATCGCATTTTAATGATTATTTTTTTTCTTTTCTTTAATATAGAAAGAACCCCCACCTGCTTTAGAATGGTGGGATGCTCATCTATTACCGAATAAAACTTATAATGATATTGATGCTGGTTTGGTCAAAATTGACGACGAAGATTCTCTCATTTCTTGGTTTGTTCAGCATCCGATTCCAATTGAACCTCCAGGAGATAAAGGTCCACCACCACCAAAACCTTTAATGTTGACAAAGAAGGTAAATTATCATTCAAATGAATAAATATATGTATGATATTGAACTGATCAAATATTTCTTATCAATATAAAAAAAAAATCGTAAACAGGAACAAAAGAAGTTGCGTAAACAACGTCGTCTGGAATTACAAAAAGAGAAGCAAGACAAGATTCGTTTGGGCTTATTACCACCAGATCAACCTAAAGGTATAATATATACATTTTATTCATAAGTTCTTGTAAACCTTTCGATTTGATTAATTAATTCATTTTTTTCCTTTTCCTTTTTTTTTCCTAGTAAAAATGAGTAATTTGATGAGAGTTCTTACGAATGAAGCTATTCAGGACCCAACAAAAGCTGAAGCTCAAGTTCGTAAGGAAATGCAAAAGCGGCAAGAAACTCATTTGAAGACTAATGAAGAACGCAAATTGACTGAAGAACAGAGGAAAGAAAAGAGACAAAAAAAATTGGAAGAAGATGCCAAGAAAGGCACGGTAGTTTGCGTTTTCAAGTAAGCTGCTGTTAATTTATCAAAAATCTCATACAGATGTATATATAAGTACTAATATAAACTATCGTATTTTATTTAGAGTGAACGATCTTTCACATCCTAAAATGAAATTTAAAGTTGATACGAATGCGCAACAACTTGGTCTTACAGGAACAGTTATTATTAATCCCAACTTTAGTGTAATAATGGTTGAAGGAGGGCCAAAGGGAATTAAATATTATAAAAGATTGATGTTAAGGCGTATTGATTGGTCTGATACTACAAGATTAGGAGATGGCAGCGGAACTGGCGTTAGTGGAGGAGGCAATGAGCAAGGTGAAGATGAGCAAATGATGGAACCTCCTAAAGAAAACAAATGTGTATTAATTTGGCAAGGAGAAGTTAAGGATCGTGGGTTTAAGGGATTTTGGTTCAAAACTTGTCCAACAGAAAAAACAGCCAAGGATTATTTGAAAAAACATAAAGCCGAACATTATTGGGACTTGGCTAGTAAATACGTTGACGATGGTCTTGAATTACCTGTGTTGTGATAAAAAGTGACGTAAAATAAAGGTATAGGAACAAGGAATGAGAAAAGTATATACATGAAATGGTGTTTGTCTTATTCGTTCTTTATGTGATTTATCGGAAATATATGAACATTAAAATATTTAAAATTATAATGAATGTATTCTAGATAATAAAAGATAGTGTTCCAGTCGTCTTTGCAATCTTTACTCGAAAGCTGATTGGCTAAAATATGAAAATAATGTCACTTGATTGTCGCAGATGGAATTGATTATAATCACGTGATTTGATGGAATAGTAAAATAAAATAACATTTTACTAATATACTAATTGTATTAAATCTTATCAGATTCTTTACATTCTTATTTCTTTTATCTACATATTTTAAATTTTAGTAAATTTTATATATTATATATTTATTATATTAAAAGAAAGAAATTATATAAAGAGTTTTTTTTTATAAATTAATATTAAATTTAAATATTTAATATATAAAATAAATTTTTTTTTATAAATAAAGTATTTATAATGTTAAGTTAAAGTTTATTATATATAATTAGCCTTTTTTACAATTACATTCTTTAAGACTATCTAATGATATAATTAGATAGAGTTGTAATTCTAATTTATTATTTATTATTTTTTAGATATTGTTACAGAATAAATCTAGATCTACAAATATAACATAGTACCAAATTTAAAAATGTCAAATATATTAAACATATTAAATATGTTTAATATAATTAATATAGTTAGGACGCTGACATATATTAGCTAATATTTTAGGGGGTGGGGGTAATAGTGAATCTTAGATTACACATAACTTAAAATCACGTGATAATATTAGCAATAGTATTTTATTAATTTTTCATATAATCATATGATCAGATAAACGTTATGCAATACCAATTTTATCAATTATTAATCTTGATCTGACATGCATTCCAGTAGCCGGTACCATATGATATAATTATATCACATGGTACCGGCTACTTACCCTAGATTATATGGTAACCTATGATCTAATAGTAACCTATAATCTGGTAGTAATCTATAATCTGATGGTATCTTATAATCTAATGGTAACCTATAATCTAATAGTAACCTATAATCTGATAGTAGCCTATAATCTAATAATATAATCTAATTGTAACCATATAATCTAATAACATAATCTAACGGTATCATTATAATCTATTTTTGAATGTCTTTATGACTTTCTAGTTATTCTTTTAAGTAATTTCTGCTATATTTAAATTGGTACCATATAGTCTAAAAGTAATATTACCATATAATCTAATGGTATCCTTATAATCTAGAGGTACCACTTTGCTTTTTACTCCTAACCTACTTACTCATCAAATTTTATATTGTGAGTGCTGACCTTCTGTGCCTATTTGGAATCTAGGTTTCATATTGAGAAGATAACCTTTTCTACCCATTTGGAACTCTAGTTTCATATTGAAGGTGCTGGTCTTTTGCGTCTGTTTGGGTATCAGATTTTATATTGAGGTATTACTTTTTTGCGCCTATTTGGTTGCCTTTCTAGATGCCAAAATATGGTAAAAAATATCGTGACAGGTGGCGCAGTAATTCAATGTAAATCTGCGTTTAATTTTGGCCGGCACTATATCATAATTTCGGCTGATCTTTTGGGCATGTGATTCGAGGATCTAGCTTGGCTCTATGATGGTGACTTGATAGTGTCCTGGAAGTTCTATGGAGCTGTCATGGAACTAGTAAGGAACTATCATAGAAGTGTTATAAAATGCCAGCTTGGATGTCGAGTTCTTATACCCAAAGATCTTGGCTGAAATTGTGAAATAATGCTGGCTGGTACTGCGTCTTACTGCGCCAGTCACGTGACTTTTGCTGACCTGTGGGTCAGAGAATTCAAATTGCAAAATATAAAAAACTGTGCATTACCATAGTCGGCTTGCACTATTTGTGACCCAACTATTGCCTATTTATTGCCAGTATATGTATGCCAATTTCGCGTCTGTGGTTGGAGGTGCATTGTGCATTACTATGACCAGCCTATTTGATTGCCAGAAGTGCACCATTTCGCAATCTAACTATTACCTATTTGTTACCGGTATAATTATACCAATTTCGTATTCGAGGTTAAAGATGCGATATGCATACCATCGAAATGTAGCCTTTATGCCATACCCAAATATATACTAGTGATAGGGTAGTCTTCTTCTAATTTTTATATAATATTAAGGAAGATATCCGCTTCAGACTACCCTGGATGACATACCCGAGTATATACTAGTATTAGGGTAGTCTTCTCCCAATATTTTATATAAGATTACTATCCTAGAGAAAATGTATTTATTTGCGCAAATAGAGCGGATGTGTTTATTAAGTAAATACCGTCAGCCAGAAAATTTCGTATCTCTTTTTGATATATTCCTATCTTACGCGAAGGCTACATATTTTGATGCATCCGGATGCCTTTTTCTTGATGGCTGGTATAAGTATACCAATTTCGATTGCCAGTATAGGCAGTATATATTGATTCTGACTAGGCCTTCCATACCCAAGTACATATCTAGAAAAGTGTAGCCTTCTGCTATTTTTATATAACATAATTCTGCAGAAGGCTACACTTTCAGATACATATCTGTTTTCCTTTTATTTATGATTTATCTACTAGCTTGCTATATGTCTCTTTTTTTCGAAAGACGAAAAAATTAATTAAACATTTCGGAAATATATTGTGATATAATATCTTTACCTACTGTCAGCATGTATACCTCAACTATTTTCAACCAAACTGATCGAGAAACTCTCGCCCGCTATGACGGCGCTGGTCCCTTAACTGGTATTCCATCACGTAATAATATTATAGTAGAATTCGATAATGGGATGACCGTTATACTTCAACAAAGCCTATCTGGCAAGCAACCCATACATTTCATGCCTACTGAAGTTAGTGATGATACCTCCGAATATGTAAATGGTATCTTCTCCTATATTTTACGTATTACTGGTACTTTGATTAATAGACAAAAAACAGTCGTAAAAATTACAAGCATCAGGCCCTTTTTTGATGCTAAAGTACCCAAAAACTATTTCCCCTTTTCATTTAAGACTATATTAGTACGCATTTTATCCATTACACTCAAAAGTACATCAAAGTTTGGATTTGAGGATATTCGTGCTTACCCATTTAGAGGGTATTATACAGAAAAGAGAGCTTATATTCGCATTACTACTCAGAACTATTTTGATCAGTATAATGCATTGAAGGCGATTTGTAAAGTTGGTATTCATACAGTCTCAGATGATCTAAACTGCCAGTATTATTACCGCAAAGTAGCCTGTAAAGAAAGATTACCTCTTTCAAGTTGGGCAGTATTAAGTAATTATTTATACAAACACATTCAGGGGGGCACTTATCTCTTTCAAGTATCTGTGAATAATTACAATCCAATAAGTGATGATTATAATAATCCATTATTTTCCTCAGCACTTTCACGAGATTGCACCCTTGTTCTCACGTGGAATATTGAAACATATAGCTCACGAAAAACAGGTGAGGTGTCTAATGTAAAATACGAAGAAGACGTTGTGTTCATGATTGGTATGACTGTCCATTAGAAAGATGATCCTGAACCGTTAAAGCAAATCTGTCTTGTCGATGTTAAAACTGCGTCAGATTCGCAATGGATCACAATTGTATGTGGAAATCAAACTAATATACTGAAAGCATTTGCATTATGTTGGAAACATTTAGCTCCAGATATAGAAATGGGCTTTAATGATTCTCAATATAATTGGCGATTTATTGTGGAGAAAGCTAATAAATTAAGGATTCTCGAATAGATATTCAATCATATGTCATTCAAGCCATCGAGCCTAAAAAAATTATAAAATAGGAATATCGATATAACATGATAAAAGTAAATGATGGAAAATTCCATTCGAAGCATCTTAAAATTTCCGGCTGTATGGCTATTGATATCTGGCCCTGTTTTATGGGATTTTATTCTAAAGATGAAAAAAGTAGTCTCGCATATTACTTAAAGGAGTATAAACTTAACAATAAAGTGGATTTGCCTATTCACTGCATGAACAAATATTATGAGATGGCATTGAAGAAAACAAATGCCACAACGGCTGAGCAGATGCATGAAGTAGTTAAATACTGCATTATCGACGCTCTTAGTTATCAGCGGTTAATGGTAAAGCATAATGCAATTAATAAGTATAGAGAGATAGCATCTGTAGCCTTCTTGTCATTATTTGACGCACATTATTTTGCGGGAGATATGAAGGTTTGCAATCTTTTAAGTGCTAGTGCGTGGTAAAGAAGGATCCTAACCAGTATGATTTTAAGTCAACAAACAGAAACTGGAAAATTCCCTGGAGCCTATGTTTTCCCACCAGTAAAGGGTCTCGAAAACAGACATTCTGTAACCGGCTTAGACTTTGCATCATTATATCCTAACCTTATTATAACTTACAACCTCTCGCCTAACAAAATCATTTTATCTCAAGAGCATGCTGTATCTGTAAAACAAAGCGATAAAAAGCTTCATAAGATAGAGTTTCTATTTAATAACAACCCTCAACGTGCCTGGTCTGTTTGGCATAATAATATTCCTGAAGAAAAGGGTCTCTATGTTAATGTATTGGAATATTTATCTGCTAAACAGAATGAGTTGAAAAGACGTCTCATCCCTTTGAAAGCAAAAAAGGAAGATATAGATCTAGTAATAAGTTCAATGAACAAAGGTTTGTTATTATCAGAAGCTATCGAGCAGGTCTTAGCGAATGCAGAGAAAGAAAAGTATAGTGGTCTTGCTAATAATTTATATCATTTTATTCATAAAGAAAAGCATGAATTCATAGCAGAATATAATTCCCTTTATTTCGACTGCTCTTGCTTAAATGCGGAACAATATGCTTTAAAGGTATACAGTAGCGGTCATAAGTATCCGACCCCTCATAATTCTTAAAGTTAATTAATAACACCCATTAAAATTTTCCAA